GTTTGTACCTCCCCCAGAAAGATTCTGGGGACATCTCAAAGGCTTCCTTACCAGTGACAAAGAAATCTAATGGATTTTGTCCTTTATGGGAAAATTTAGGAGATTTTAGGGTTTGACGCTCCGGGAGGGGGATGGATTTTACCTTCCTTTGACGGTAAAGCACATGAGATCTGATAGTGTTATTTTCCAGGTACTTCTGAAAACAGAGTATCGCTGTGTAGCATGTAAGAACTTCGGGCTAGAGTTTTGGAGATTTTTAAAAGAATTTTTTATATAGAAGATATAAGATGTGGCTTGATGAGAACCATACAGCTACAGGCTGTCTTGGCTAATAGGGTGAGGGTGCACCCTGCGGGCCCACTGTTCCCACTGGGGCCTTTGACCTTGGGCCTTGCTCTGTGACTTTCTCTGGCTGTGCTGAGGTTTAGAAGAGTTCTGAATCTTTTCCTAAAAGCCTGGTCTTATAGCCTTGGAGTTGGATGCCCGAGTGACCTGAGGTACACAGCAGAATTTTCACGCTGTGTCATGCTTGTGATGCTGGAACGGGGTCAGGAGGAAGACTGCATCCAAAGACTCCAGCCACTGTGCCTGGCCAGAGTAAGGAGGCCCTTCAGTGGATCAGACAACTGCCTTCCAGCCCCTGTGCTCCCCAAGAGTGTCCCCTGGGGGGACATGAGGTTGCCAGCCTTCATGGCAGCTTAGATGGCCTCGGTTGCTCTGGAGATACAAATAAGTGAATGAAATGAAGACACCAGACAGCTTGTGTTTTCTGACCTGTTTCCTGGTTGAGCAGATAAGCAGGCCACCAAAATGAGCATGAGAGCACTTAAGGGAACTGTGCATTTGGCCGGATGCAGCCAGACACAGCTTTAACTCAGTGGGCAGCCGAGGGGGCACAGGTAGTCCTGGGAAAGTGCCATATGTGGTGTTCATACCTGTGGTCTCTCTTGCCCCTGCAGCTTCTCATTCCACTCTCAGGAGTAAAATGTGACGTGGATCAGCCCCCTGGTGTGACCCTGCATAGAGTAGGCAAACATGGTCTCTTCTAGCCCAGGGCTGGGCATAGTCAGGTCCCAGGTACCAACTGAAGGTGTGCAGAATGAGTGGAGACTCAGGCATGTTCTCAGGTGGGAATGTGGCCACCTGAGTTGCATTCTCCTTGTGATTGTAGAGGAGGGGCCCTTTAATGCTGGAATGTGTTGTGGGGTATAGGTACATTTCAGGGTGGTTTACTGTTCTTGAGAAATTTAAGGCATTGAGTTTGAGAGTCAGCTCTGTCAAAAACTTAGGATGTGCTGGGTGTGATAACACATGCCTCTGATCCCAGCACTCAGGAGGTTGAGGCAGGAGGACTGATGTGAGTTCGAGGCCAGTCTGCACTGCATAGTGAGACTTTGTCTCAAAACAAAAAACAAACAACTTAGGATGTAGACAGAGCTGAGCTGTCATGGGACAAAAGGTATGTGTGTGCACACGTGCCATACATGTGTCAGGCATGTATGCACACACATCTGGTAACAGCAGTGAAAATGGGAATGTACAGAGTGGTGCTTACCCTGTTTAGGGAAGCCAGGATGTTTTCTGCAAATGTGGTGTGATTTGAGCAGAACTTCCCAGCTCCTCGCAGCAGAACCTGCTGTGGCTCTGAGACCATCACCCTGTCCATGCTAGGCCTGCCTCTGAGCTGAAGAGTGCCTCAGGTAGGGGACTTAAATCCGTCCAGATGACACACCTCAGTCTTGGTCCCTGTAGCCCAACCTAGGAGAGTCTCTGGACAGAGCTTGGGCTTTTTATATGCACTGTGTAGCCTGGAGCAGTGGGCATGAGCCTGGGACCAGCTGGCAGATCCACCTTCATGGCAGCTGGTGATCACAGGTGGGCAATTGTGTACCTTGACAGGAACACACTGGAGGGGAGTGTACACTGAGCAGGGAACCCTGGGCAGTTCCTAGTGTGGGTCTGAGGACCTGTTTCTGGTGCAGGTGCAGGCTGAGAGCAGCTTAGGCTGCAGGGAGGACCAGTAGCTGTGGCAGGAGCCCCTGGGTGGCTGAGACTTTAGAGCCTTCACGATGAACACAGTGAAACCCTTGGGGGCCTCAAACAGGATGGATGTGATCAAAGGTTCTTCTTGGAGGATGTCCCTGCCTGTGCTGGAGGGTGGTAGGCGGGCATAGGTTGCCAGGGCAGTTGAGAAGGACCTAAGAGGGAGGCAGAAATTCACAGAGGGTGGTGCAGGGTGCCAGAGATGGTAGTGGGAACGTCAGCTGATTCTGTCTTGGAGGTGTGGGGGTAAGGTCCCTGAGAAGAACCAGCCTTGTCCTCCTTTTGGTGTGTAGAAGGCTTCCTCTGTCCTCCTGCCTTTAGAGGACTTTGGGACAAAACAGGTTGCCAGTAAGGAATGGAGCCCCTGTTAGAGCCCTGTTTGGAATGGGCTCACTGTAGGCTGAAGGAGACAGGCCCCTGGTGCCAGAAGCAAAGGATTCCAGCAGTCGAAGCTGTGTGCAAGGATTTTGGGAGCTAGACACCGAGGTCAAGTGTCAGGATGGACATGGGAAGAAGGAATGGCACTTTAGACCAGGGGCCTGAGCAAATGCCTCATGGCATTAAAGGCCTGAACTGGCAGGAGAGGAGGGGAGCTTGAGGGGGGCCATGGAGTTGTGCTGGGAATCTTGGGGAACACATTGCAGTCAGGCATTGTGGCAGGTAGGGCAGGTGGCATGCTGGTGAGGATGGAGGCATGAGGCAGGTCTGTCTAGGATGGGAAGGGACAGGGACAGCTGGTTGCCAGGGCTGCCTCTCTAGTGCTGTGGTGGTACCTGACCTTGTGGGCTGCCCTAGGGCTTCAAAGGCAGCTGGTTGGATGTAGGGTTCCATGAGTGAGGCTGGGGTACAGGGTCCCAGCTGAGCTTTGGGGACATCCTTCCCTTCCTCCAGTGCCTCTGCACCCATCAGTGTCTGGCTTCCTCCTCCCTTTTGAGTCTCCTTACAACCTGCACAGCCTTCCTTCCATCATCCTGTTTCCCCAGCCCAGCATCCTCAGTCTCACAGGGTTGGTCTGTGATGGCTCCTTAGCTGATTTCTCGTAGAGAATATTCTGGGGAGTAATGGGACAGGGAGGGCCAACTTTCACTTGTTCCCTAGGTAGCACTTGAATTTCTTACCCTGAATATCTTCCTTTCTCTTACTATCAAAAGGTAGTAGTTCAAAAGAATTTTACTTGCTCTGCAAAGTACAAAAAGATTTCTTTTCTGTAGTAAAAGGAACATAGGCACAGTTGAGCTGTTTGTGTGCTTATGTGTGTGCGTGTGTGAGTGCATGCACGTACATGTACATGTGTCCTTCAGATCTTGTTAAAAGATTAATTCAATCTATTAATTCCCTGGGCCAAGGAATAATTGACTCTGATTGATTCCAGGGCTGTCCAAAGTACCCAGTAATGAGATAATGCCCTGACTTAAGAGGATTAAGCCCTGGACAGACCTGGTTGAGCCAGCACTGACTTCATCTTGTTGTCATTTCATGTGGGGAAGTTACACTCATCCATTATGACTAACTTTTCTAGGAAGCAGACTTGAAAGTGATGTGCTATCTAGAGTGACCCTCAGTGGCTATGGAGTGGACACCCATGTGGATTGGGAGGGGGTGCATGTGGGCCCCAGCTGTGCACCCAGTTACCCACCTGGACAGCCAGCCATGCAGTTCATCCAGGACCTTGCTAACTGCGGTCAGAGTATCCAACATTTTCATGAGGAAGGAAACATAAGCCCGAGCTCGGCTCCTGGTGGCCTCTCTGAGAATGGAGCCGTTCTGTGGGCCCAAGCGCCTGACTCACAGGGCCCCTCTGCTCCTAGGAGGGCGCGTGAAGACCTGGAAGCGGCGCTGGTTCATCCTGACCGACAACTGCCTCTACTACTTTGAGTACACCACAGTAAGTGGGCCCCGGGAGCCTCTGGGCGGGGGCCCTCAGACAGCGGCCTTCTGAGGCTGGCCTGTGCCTTTTCCTCGTAGGACAAAGAGCCGAGGGGCATCATCCCACTGGAGAACCTCAGCATCAGAGAGGTGGAGGACCCACGGAAACCCGTAAGTGGCCTCCTTTTGCCAGTGTCCTTTTTTTGCCTTCTTGGACTGAGCTTGCAGGTGCCCCAGGCTGGGAGCCTAACAGCAGCTTGGGAACCCCTTTTCTCTCTCTCCCCAGAACTGCTTTGAGCTTTACAATCCCAGCCACAAGGGGCAGGTCATCAAAGCCTGCAAGACAGAGGCTGATGGCCGGGTGGTGGAGGGAAACCACGTGGTGTATCGCATCTCTGCACCCAGCCCTGAGGAGAAGGAGGAGTGGATGAAATCCATCAAGTGAGTGAGGCTGGGGAGGGAGCGTGTGCGTGTGCCCGAGGACACACTCAGTTTGCCTTTTGACCCTTGTGTCTCCAGAAACTTAGGGCAGTGCTGCTGAGCCCACCCCACGGCATGAAGCTGCTCTCTGGTTCGAGGCATGGGAGTGGACAGAGGAAGAAGGGTTTGGGTGCACCATGGCCAGTGCTGCCCTCGCCCTAACCAGCTCCTTCTCTTTTCTTCCCCAGAGCAAGCATCAGCAGGGATCCTTTCTATGACATGTTGGCAACGAGGAAAAGGAGGATTGCCAATAAGAAGTAGAGCTGCCCTGGCCCAGCAGGTAAACTAAAGACCCAAACCCCACAACAGATGTGACTGGCAGCTGCCCTAACACGACACGTGGGCTGCACCTCTCGGGTCACAGTGGTCCCCAGAACCAGCTGTGGCCCCACCTGTACACCCTGAAGCCTGTGCTGCGTGTGGCCTGGATCGTGGTCGGCCGTGTTTCCTCCTGTTGCTGTGTGGCCCAGAGCCTTGGCTCCTGTGATGCCGCAGCAGCGAAGGAAGATTCCCGGTGGGCATCCGTTGATCTTGCCACGCACACCGGCCCACTCGGGCAGTGGCAGTGACCATTCTAGAAGTCACTGTTTTATATCAAAATGGGAATGGAAAAGCTACCACTTTTTTAATTCAGAATTTTTCTCAGATATATAGGATTATAGCTTTTATATGCCTTTTTATATCCTGAAATTATAAAGACACTTTCTAACAGTAGTATTTTTAGAATGGCAGCTATAAATATAACTCCTGGACACAAGTACATACTGTGCACTGAGAAAAAAGTATATGCAGCACCCAAAAGGAGGGCTGTAGGGCACTTGCACTTGGGTGGGAGCTGTAGGAGGAGGCACTAGTGTCCTCTAGGACCGGTACACTTGGGGGGCTCCAGGTATGATAAGCCCTGCAACCCCCCTCTCTCTTTTTTGGCCCTACATATACTTTCTAAAACCAGTCATTATGGTTATAGTTATGGTTTGGGGCTGTTAGTCCTATAACTGCTGAATCCTAGGACAAGGAGTTCTTTCCATGGTCAGATCACCCATAGGTTGGACCACAGCACACTGCTTGTATCTGACCATTTCCAGCTCACACAAACAGCAGTTCTACCTAGTTCCACAGAATAATGGGTCAGATCAGCTTTTGACCACATCCATTGCTACTTAAACCCTTTGGCAAAATGGTTGTCTCCCTGACATAATCAGATTTGAATGACTAGACACATAAGTAACTGGGAATAGTCCAGTCTATCGTCTTCCTCTTGCAGTACTGTGTTCTCAGACCTCAGCTTCCCTGTGAGGAGGAAGAGAGCAAGCTATGGCTGAAGGTGTGTGGCACTTAGGGTTTTCTATGAACAGTGGAGAGCCCCAGATCTCAATTGGGGTGGGCTCACCTTGACATACAACAGTGGTATTGATGGCCCCGCCATTGTGATAGTCAGAGTTTGGGCAAGGACGAGGGCACTGGATGACACACAGCCTCCTTCCTGAGGACATTTGTTTGTACCTTTGGGTTGCCTGTGCATTAACACCTGGACCCTCTTCAGTTCCACACGTGGGCTATTTTGTTGGTGATCTCTGCTCAGACTTGGAATCTTGCCCTGTCTGTGCTGGCACACCCAGAGTTTGCACCCTCTGGAGGTTCTTTGTATTCCTGTGCGAAAGCAAGTCGAGGAATCAAAACCTCAGACTGAATGCACTTATGCAGAAATAAGTCTTCCCATGAGCTGCCTTGAGGCGGAGACTATGTAGCCCTGGGCCCTTTGCCTCTAGCTGGCTGACCTTAATGTGTAGCTTTACATCACGCCAGATTGCAGAGAGTTCAAGGCTGAAACTCTCCATCATGCATTAGACTGATTTTTTTGATTTATTCCCGAGCTTCTATGCTGTTACTTTACTGATACCTCAGACCTGAAACTTTAGTGTTGGAGCAAGGCATATAGGCTGCCTTGACATGCCTGACTGGTGTATATGCAATTTGGCCCATCTGCCATGTGCAAGTGCTGCCCGAACCTGGACCAACCACGATGCCTCCATGCTGCACCCATCCTCAGGCCAGCTCTGCCAGGGACTGCAGCAGGGTTGGGTCAGCAGTTCACACAGGGACGAGCGGCTTCCTCTCTCCTGATCATCTAATGCAGATATGGCCCTGGGGATGTGGAGCTTTCTGTGGTGGGGTGTTGAGAGAAGGGAGCATGGAGTCACCTGGTGGTGAACCTTTTATCACCACGGCCACCTGTGAGCCAGCTCTGCCCGATGGCCATTCACCCAGTATCATGCAGAAGGCCCTGGTGCTCAGAATCTTAAGTGACTTGCCCTGTCAAGAGTATTACGTGAAATCACCTAATCCCAGGTTTTCTTGTGACAGTATTAACCCTAAGGGTGCCTGCCATCATGCAGTGTACCTGGCCTCCACCAGGCTGCCTAGAAGTGGGACCCCTCCCCTTACAGGGGTGATGAGGCTCAGTCACGCTCATCACCTCCCCACCCGAGGGTCTGCATTCAGACTTGAGTCATCAGTCTCAACTCTGGCCAAAGACAAAGTTTCCTCCAGAGACAAAGGGCAGCAGGTAGTTCCGAGGAGGACCCTGGGTGGGCGATGGCATCTCTGCAGCGCTCCCCAGCTGTCTTGCTGGGCCCGGTTATCATCTGAGGTTTATTTGGACTGACCCTGCACCCACACAAGCCTCCACATCTCTGGGGTCCTGAAACACTTTCAAGTAGTGTGTTGTGGCCCCAAATGGACTCAAAGTAAGAGCTATTTATAGATGAAGCAGCATTTAATGCTTCAGATAAATGCCTATTTTCAAGGTTACAAATGCATATATCTACACAGATGTGCTTTGCTGAGAAGTTAGGTCTGTTATAGACCAGAAACTACAAGTTGTGATTTTTCATTTTCTTATTTTTTTCCTCAGAAAACATTTCTATTACCTAAATATAGTTAATATGTAAATAATGTACATATATTGATATCTGGAGTGTTTTGTTATTCAATGTATATACCCCCTACAACTTGCATGAATATTCTATTGATATCAAATATCTATTGATATTTTGTTGCAAAGTGAACAGTACAACTGAAGGGTGTATGCCTGTTAAAACTTGCAAATATTGTCCTCACTAAATAAAAATCTCATGTATTATTAAAACAAGGTTGTCTAAGACTTGCTTCTTTAAAATAGAGATGTGTTGGGTTCAGCAAACTGCTGCCTGGTTTTCCCTGACCCGTCTCTGAGGTCTGAGGTACCTACTGAGGTAGCCAGAACTTTGTAGGTTCTAAGGAGAGTGAACCCAAAGAGAAGACATGGCTGGAAGCAAATGGAGAAAACAGAAGTAAAAAATGACACTAAGTATTTAATTTGTTGCCATTCATGTACTATATAAATTTTACATGCTGTATATTTACTGTGGAGCAAGTGGTTTTTTAATGTTAAAAAAAAAAAAAAGATCTAACTTTACACAGCTATGAACAACACAAGCTGTATAAACCATACAGATTATTCAGATAGAAACTATATTAAATGCAGTGTTCCCCCTCTGTCTCCTGATGC